TGAAGATTGACATTGTGGTCCTTTCACAATTCAAACTGTCACTCAACTCATCATTGCAAGAGGCGGGGGTACGGTGAGTTGAGAATGACACAAGAAAGTAACGAGTAAGTAACGAGTATTGCAAGTTCTGGATACTCTATTTATCTAGCTCAATACTCTACTCAATACTCTACTCAATACTCTACCCAATACTCTACCCAATACTCTACCCAATACTCTACCCAATACTCTACCCAATACTCTACCCAATACTCTACCCAATACTCTACCCAATACTCTACCCAATACTCTACCCAATACTCTACCCAATACTCTACCCAATACTCTACCCAATACTCTACCCAATACTCTACTCAATACTCAATACTCTATCTAGCTATTTATCTAAGTCCCATAAAACGTAACTTTCGCTTATATGGAGTATTTGTTGCTTTAGTTTTTGTTAATTTTAAGTAAAGAGAGAAAGCGAAGAATGAAAAATATGGAAAAGATTTGTTTAGTAAAAGTTAAAATTAATTTTTCTGATAGATTGAGAATTTTTGATAAATGGAGAAAAAAGGGCGAATGTTTTAACCCCCAAAAAGTACAGTAACCACCAAAAAGTACACTAAAAATGATAACTAAAAAAAACCAAAACAATCAATCAACTTACCAACAATTTTTGCACAGAGAACATCGTTATTTGAATGAATTGATTTGCAAGTGCTAGAAATTGGTGCAGATATTGATTGATTTAGTAGTTTAGATTCTAGTGATTGTCTGATTCGAGATCTAGAAATAAAGATACTTGATTAAATAGGTGAATGAATGGAATGAAAGAATGGAGAAGTCCACGGAGAAGTCCACGGAGAAGTCTTCTTAGCTCATCTCCTCTCCTCTCCTCTCCTCTCCTCTCCTCTCCTCTCCTCTCCTCTCCTCTCCTCTCCTCAACTCCATCACTCATCCAATCACCCAACTTCACAGACTACGATAGCTCAAGAAAGAATAAAAGAATTGAAAAAAGAATCTAAAACTTTCAAATGCTCATGTTATTCTGAACATTTTTATCTCTTGTTTTCAAATGAAATCTTAAATTCGATTCCGGTGTTCCTCCAACGAAATTTCGGCTTCAAATTGGGGAAATTGGGGAATCACATGGAGGTCAAAGTGGATTTCATTCAAATTTCATTGCTCTTTCAGTTTATTCTAAACAAATTTCCAGAAATATTTCTAGATTTTTGATAGAGATAGGCTCACGATTGGGAAAAGTTGATCTATCTAGCGATTACTCTACAAAAACTCGTGCTTTGTTTTTTTTTTGAAGGAAATTTTTGGAACCAATAAACCGGTTGGATAAATTTTCCCCTCACTTTCAACGTTTTTCCTTCTTTAGTCAAGAGTCTTGTCTCTTTCATTTGTGAAAAGTTAAGTCATTCTCAAGGTAACTATTGTATTTTCGATTCTTTTTCTGGTGATCCTTCCAATATTCTTCCATTTTATTGTAAGATAAGTTTATTGGAATCTTGTAATCTTGTAAATCGGAAGATCAAGTCGGAAGATCGATTCAGAATCTTGTAATGGAATTCAAAAACTTCTTGAGTTAATGTGATGTTGTTTGTTACAGCGCGTTTCTTTCAGTGGTTATCAGGAAGGATCAGGACTATATTACTTAAGAAACAAGTTAGATTTATGCAAAATCCAATCCACAAACAGTAAAGCATAAGGCTTTCTGGCAGAAAGCTCTACCAATGAGCTACATCTGTCGATGTAGCTCATATCCCATTACTGCCAGAAAGCCATTGCTACCAGAAAGCTCTACCATCTGTTGATGTAGCTCATTGGTAGAGCGTTTGGTAAGCGGTGGCGGGTTCGAATCCCGGTGCCGATCATGTTTTAGATTCTCAGCCTTAAAAGAACCATACCATCACCATTGTTCAACTATTTCAACCCAAAAGCTGATTGAGTTTGATGTTTGAGCTGAGCTCTCAATTGATAAGTGTAGTGTTTCAATTTCACCATCACCATTGTTTATCAAAACCACAAAAAAAATGATTGATTTGAGAGAAGTGGGAAAGGGGAACACCTTTTGTACAATGTTTTGTTCAATGTTTTGTTCAAAAGAAATGGTTTGTTGGAGAGAATGTTTTCTTTTTCCAAAGATAGACTTTCATTTCCCCATTTCTCACAATGGCACTTATAATATTTTTACTTTTTCTTTTTCCACGTTTCTTTTTTCTCCTCTATCCCCACTTAAGAAAAATAGATTTTTTCATTTTTTTAACTGATTTTTCTCTTACTTTCATTCCCGAATTCATCCTTGTTTATCATTCATTTATTTTTTAACAACTTTTATTCAATAATCTTTTATTCAAATCTAATTTTCAGGATTTTTCAATCGTATCATTTCTTTCTCATTGAAATGAAACTTTTCGTGCTCTTATTTTCTTTATTCTTAACTATATTGAGTGTAGCTGGAGCAGGTGAGGATGATCTAAATCTAATTTAAATCTAACCTAAATCTAATTTAAATCTAATCTAAATCTAACTTAAATCTAATCTAAATCTAATCTAAATCTAATTTAAATCTAATTTAAATCTAACCTAAATCTAACTTAAATCTAATTTAAATCTAATTTAAATCTAATCTAAATCTAATCTAAATCTAATTTAAATCTAATTTAAATCAAATCTAACCTAAATCTAACTTAAATCTAATCTAAATCTAATCTAAATCTAATCTAAATCAAATTGAAATCAAATCTAAATCAAATTGAAATCAAATTGAAATCAAATCTATTTTAAAGACCGAAATTTGGATTAAATACCCGAATGATTAGAGTGTGTTGAGCATTTCGATTATTTGGATAATTTTGAACAAATAATTCGTTTCGTAATGTACTGGAGTTACTGGAGTTTGTAATGAAGTTTGTAATGTACGTAACTACTGAAGTTCGTAATGTACTGGAGTTCGTAATGAAGTTCGTAATGTACGTAACTACTGGAGTTCTTAATGTACTGGAGTTACTGGAGTTCGTAATGGAGCTCGTAATGTACTGGAGTTACTGGAGATTAAATGCGCTTTTTCAGAGATATGAGTATGAAGTCGTTTTTTGTTGTTTTTTTTTGCCGGACTATTAAAGATGTTCTTCATCGTAATTACTTGATCTAGGCAGTTGAAAAACTAAATCATAAAAACTAAACTACAAAAACTAAATCACAAAAACTAAACCATAAAAAAATAAAAAAATGACATTCAAAAACAAAAGTCAAAGTTTGAAAGTAAAGTTTACAAATTGAAAACTTTTTTAGCGTGTTTCGAAAGCAATCTTTGCGTTAAATGCAATTTGATAAGAAAATTAGCATTTATTTGCCGGATCCACGCTTTAGAATTGTCAACATTATCCAAGATCATCCAAGAACGTCCAAGAACATCCAAGAACGTCCAAGAACATCCAAGATCATCCAAGAACATCCAAGATCATCCAAGAACATCCAAGATCATCCAAGAACATCCAAGATCATCCAAGAACATCCAAGATCATCCAAGAACATCCAAGATCATCCAAGAACATAAGATCATCCAAGAACATCAAGATCATCCAAGAACATAAGATCAAAGAACATCCAAGATCAAGATCATCCAAGAACGTCCAAGAACATCAAGTCATCAAGAACATCCCAGATCATCCAAGAACATCCAAGACCATCCAAGATCATCCAAGATCATCCAAGATCATCCAAGAACATCCAAGAACATCCAAGATCATCCAAGAACATCCAAGATCATCCAAGATCATCCAAGAATATCCAAGATCATCCAAGAACATCCAAGATCATCTAAGATCAACACACTCTACTAATCACAGTCTTTCAGTTAGGCCAATGAAATTTTTTGGCAATTTGATATAAAACTCTTTGTAAATGACTTCGCGGCTAGAAAACAATCACAAAAGACTACGATAACTTTCTAAATTGGCCATTTATAAACTCTAGAATCGTTGAATTTACTTGAAAACATTCTAGCTTTGCGTACAACAGAAAGCATGACGTTGATGGAAGGGAAACAACTGCCGACACCTCCACTCCAACGAATGGCCACTACAATTGCCTCAAGTCAGTACAGTCAGTACAAATTTTTCCCCAAATTCGTCTATAGAAGATTCTCAGAAGATTTTAGACTTTATCGCATATCATTTATTGTTAACTTTTATTAAAGAAGTCTACTTTTAATTGAATAGGGAAATCGATGATTATTTGAATGCCTTAAATGATTAACTGATTGATAACTGATTGATAACTGATTGATAACTGATTGATAACTCATTGATAACTGATTGATAACTGATTGATAACTGATTGGTTAACGATAACGGACAAGAGTTGAGGATCATTATGTTCAACTGAAGCCTTATAAAATGCAAAAGCAAAGAAATTTAGGAAGACGCTGAACGAATCATGAGAGATCACAAAGATAAATCTCACGGGTCATTTGCATGTCTTCAATTGTCTTTAATTGTCTTTGAATCTTCAATTGTCATTAAATTTTTTCATAAATCAGTGCAACGATCATTTCTAAACTGTACAGGAATTCTTTTCGTTGTGTTGACTCTGAAATTTTGATTGAACCTTTGAACACTAACTATCGTATATGTTAGTCTGTAAAATTGGATCATTAATGCTTTTCATTAAAGTTCAATAAACTCTTCACTTCCTCTCGTTGATCATTATTTGAATGCCTTAAGTGATTAACTGATTGATAACTGATTGCTAACTGATTGGTTAACCATAAAGGACAAGAGTTGAGAAAAGTTTTTTGAATAAAAATCATTATGGATCATTATGTTCAACTGAAGTTTTATCAAAAATGCAAAAGGAAAGGAAAAAAGCAAAGAAATTTAGGAAGACGCTGAAGAAATGATCAAAGGAATGATGAGATTTCACAAAGAAAAATCTCACGGGTCATTTACATGTCTTTGAATCTTCAATTGTCTTCAATCTTCAATTGTCATTGAATTTTTTCATAAATCAGTGCAACGATCATTTCCAAATTGTACAGGAATTCTTTTCGTTGTGTTGATTCTGAAATCTTGATTTAACCTTTGAACACTAACTATCATACAGTACCGGACAATGAAATATCATATTTGAAAAACGATCGTCACTTTCGCGCGTCTGTAACTCCCTTGTCTTTGAGTTTAAACTATTAGTGTTATACATTTTCTGAAAGCTCTTTTCAACGGCTACACAATGGTAATCTTAATATTTAGAAATACGGTAAAGACAATGGAGTTTCAGACGCGCGAAAGTGACGATCTTTTTTCAAATATGATATTTCATTGTCAGTGTATATGTTAGTCTGAAAAATTGGATCATTAATGCTCTTCATTAAAGCTTAATAAACTCTTCACCTGTTCAGTTCTGTAAATCGTTTAGCAATCGTTTCACTTCTAACTGGGTGAAAGGTTTGAGGCAAAATTCTCGTCACTTTCGATGAGAATTCGATCTCTTGGCGTTGATCGTTTGGGATTTGCGGAATTCGAAGCACTCGCTTCTGCACATTCATCTAAATGTAAATGAATTAATTGTCAAAAATAAACTTGAGTGACATTTAGACAACTTGCTTTAGACTTGCAACTTACAATAGAAACAAATAATTCTAATCTGTCTAGTCTAGGTTCGAAGCGATAATCTTTTCGTAAAAATGATCTTTAAAAGGGTCTGAGGCATGAATGATCCGCATTTGGACTCCTATAAGGGAAGTACTCCAGCTTGCCAGATTGCCAAACGCCGAAGAAGTTATCGAATCGACTAAGCTGATCAAAATACCGCAAAACATAACTGCCCGTACTCATGCAAACGCAAGATATTTGGCATAAAAGTTTTCAATTTAAGCTTAAGAGCTTTCAACTTCAAGGTTAAAAGGCTTTTCTCGCACGACCTGGAATGGCTGGTAGCCGCTTGACAAAAGCTGGTAGCCTAGGGGATAAGATGTTTGTATACAAAGCGAGATATCCGCTTTTGCTCAGGTTCGAGTCCTCGCCTCGCAATTTTATTTGTTTTTTTTTTTATTTTAACGAAACATACGAATACCGTATTTTCTCTAATAGTAGTGCACCCTGATCGTCGCGTAAATTGCTCGAAATCTCAAGAACCGCTTATCAGAACCTATCGATGTGGGGTCGGGAAATGTAGCTGACGATGAGATCTAGTGGGGGATTTGAGTCTTGAGCTTCTGTTAAAACTTTGGAAGCCGTAAAATAGTCACCAACTCGGCTCGCTGAGGTGCACTACTATTAGAAAGAATTACGATAATTGTTTATTGAAATTTTTAATGGCTTTTCCTTTTGCTTAGATCTTTAAAATCAAAATTTTCCTTCGTCGCCTAAATTCCTTGAAATCTCAAGAACCACTTATCAGAACCTATCGATGTGGGGTCGGAAAATGTAGCTGACGATGAGATCTTGTGGCCGATTAGAGTGTTGAGCTTCTGCAAAAGCTTGGCAACTGTAAAATAGTCACCAACTCGGCTCGCTGAGGTGCACTACTATTAGAGAAAATACGGTATATTCTGTTTCTTTTCATTTCCCCTTCAATAAAAAAAGCATTTAGTTCCCTTTCCAATCTTAATGCTAAACTAGAAAAATGTTAAAAAAAACAACCTTTCTCTGATTGAAATCACTGATCAACCCCTCCTTGAACATCTTCAAACGATCAATGGGAAATGTTGGTGGATCGGGCAACGAATCCATCCAGAGATTCATTTCATCGACACTTATTCTTTTAGTCGATGGTTGAGAATCGTTAGGGAAAGTGGTGGTTCTAAAAAAGTTGAATTGTTTAAATGTTTAACACGTTGACGACAATGGCGTTTTTGCACAAACAATCGCATGGGACAACGTTGTTTTTTTTCGACAAAAAATGTCACCTAACATCAGGTGACAATGTCGTCAACGTGTTAACTAATTTCCTCCTCACTTCAACATGACATTCACCCTCGGCACTTCTCGTTGTGATTCGTTTAGCTCGTTTAGCTCAACGCTCGTCCATCTAAAAATCGTATTTTAAAAGAAAAAAAAAAGAAAAATTCGAGATTGTACCTGATCAATTGATTTTTTCTAGTAGCTGAACTCTCAAATTTTGATGTACTTGGTTTTGATATCTGAAATAAGATATCTGAAATTCAGAGTCTATTCAGTCTATTCAAAGTTTTTCCAAGAACAAATCTAGATCAAATCTAGATCAAATCTAGATCTATTTACCTGGTAAAACGCATTTTGATAACCAGGGAATTTTCTCGAATGAACCATGACTAAATATTTTGAATAGAAATAAAAATCAAAAAATGCAGGTAAATTGAAGATATGAAGAGGAAAGAAAATGAGCACAGCTGGCACCATGTCGATATTGGAAGGGAGGAGAGAGAGAGGCCCCAAGGACCCATTCAAGGGACAGGTGTACCCATCCAAAATAGAAATAAGAGCACATGGCTATACCTCTACACATGATATTCCTTGCTTATATCTGTTTACATCTTTAGTTTAGTTTTTTTTGATGATAGGTTGTTTTATAGGTTGGAAAGCTTATTATTATTGATTTAGAATGATTTAGAATGATTTAGAATGATTTAGAATGATTTAGAATGATGCCGAGGGTGAATGATATTAGGTTGGAAAGAAATATAAAGCTGGTGCTGATCTAGTAGTTTTAGTTCTAGTTCTAGTTCTAGTGCTATTTCTATTTCTAGTTCTAGTTCTATTTCTAGTTCTAGTTCTAGTTCTAAGTGAATCTCTAGAAGCAGATCATACTGTAACTTAGAAAATTCTTCTAAACAAGTAATGCTCGTGATTCGGAAATGGAAGAGAAAAGACAAAAAGGAGACAAGACATGATATTTTTGTGTATAGAAGAGTGGTTTGTTGAGGAGGGAAATTGTCACTCCAATCGTCCTTCCATTCTCGATGAACAAACACTTCTTTCCATTCTGTGTGATCCTCTTCACAGACATTCTCCATAAAAAAAAAAGATGAAAAAGAAACCATAAAAGAGAACCATTTCCCCCAGTCTTCAATGGTATTTACATTGGAAAAGTGAATGTTTTTTAGAGAAAGGTACTCGATATTAAACAGCTAGTTGATTGCATTGGATACATTGGTTTTTATCTGGAAATCCGAGGGTCTTTGGCTCTAAAAAAAAGAGGGTCTTTGGCTAAAATCCCGATTTTTTTCATTGTGAAAAGCTATTATAAAATCCAAAAGGAATTCTTGCTTTTCTTGGGACAAAGGATTTGTCGTAGCCGATTATTTCAAAGCCGAATTTCAGCCGATTATGAATGAGTGTTCAACCATCAAGTATCTAGGAGCGTCCAACCATCAAGTATTTGGTATCATTCAACGCAGAACCATTAATAATTATGTTAAATTTTTAAAATTAGAAAGATTGGATAAAAAGAAAAAAAATTATGGGGCCTCAAAGTTTCCTCTTGAACAAACAGTTTTTTTGCTCTAATTTTTTTTCTTTTTATCAAATCTTTCTAATTTTAAAAATTTAACATAATTATTAATGATTCTGCGTTGAATGATACCAAATACTTGATGGTTGGACGCTCCTAGATACTTGATGGTTGGACACTCATTCATAATCGACTGAAATTCATAATCGGCTACGGGGGTCCCGCCGATTTTGTTGTAGCGCCGGTAATTTTTAACCTAAACTCACAAATTTGGTACCAATCGACGCAGAATTTAATTCGCTACAGAATGATATAATATTGTCCTCATACATTAAAGGGTTGCTCTACTAGAAAGATTTACCAAAAAATTTCATTCATAATCGGTATATCTTCAAATATATTCTGAAGGTAGGTTTTACGACTTTGGAAGGGAAACTTTTAAAGATATGGATAAGTCGATACGATACGATACGATAATTCGATGTCTCATGAAACAATATGGATAAGTCGATACGATACGATTTGATAATTCGATATCTTATAATATAACTATTTTAAATCCTCAATATATAAGCTCGATCTTGTAGCTCTGTCAATTTTAAATTAGTTTTTAATGTCATATATACACGTGTCTAATTGTAGTTGTGTTTGTATATCAATTATCTTTCTTCGTCTACGCTGTTCAATCTGTTTGCATTGTCACTTTTCCTTGTCGGATAAAGTATATATATATATATCTCACGAAACAATATGGATAGTTCAATACGATACGATACGATAATTCGATATCTCACAAAAGATATGGATAATTCAATACGATACGATAATTCGATGCCTCACAAAAGATATGGATAAGTCGATACGCTACAATTCCATCGATGTCTCATGAAACAATATGGATAATTCAATACGATAGGATTCGATAATTCGATATCTCACGTAACAATATGGATAATTCAAGTATGATAGCCGCGAACACGTTTTCGCAGAAATCATTGACTCTGTTCACTAAAAGTGAACAGATTAATGGATCACAGTTGAAAATCCAGGAGAATGGCTATCCAACTCGCCGGATTCGAATGTTTTGGATAACAGTATTTGGTCGATCTTGCAGTCCAAAACTTGTTACAAGCCTCCCACATTAATTCAGTCTTTGAAGGAAGATTTAGAGAAAGCTTAGGACGACACTGTTATGGAGATCATCAAAAAGGCCATGAATAACTTTCGGAAATGACTACAAAAATGTATTCAAGCTAAAGGAGGAGACTTTGAAGAATAGTGTTATATTTTGGTTATGTTCAATGATTGTTAAATGTTATGCTCAATGATTGTTATGTTCAATGATTCTTTTCTTTGGCTTTCTTCCCGCGAAATATCAAAAGAGTTATTAGTTGATCATTTAACAATACTCGAACATTTGCATAAACTTTGGTTTAAATAGAAATTAGGGACATTCCGATGACCACCGTTTAAAATCCTTGTGTTAAATGGCTTGGATGTAGTCTAGAGTTCGTTGGTTGGCTAGTTTAACAATCGAATCAATGTGTTAAATGGCTTAGATGTAGTCTGGAGTTCGTTGGTTGGCTAGTTTAACAATTGAATCAATGAACATCAAATAAGCTGTTCCGAACAAGCTGTTGACGTTTTGCATTTTTTTTTGTTCAAAAAATTGTTCTCTTTTATTAATGTTTATTGAATAATTTAAAATCCTCGTGATAAATGGCTTGGATGTAATCTAGAGTTTGTTGATTGGCTAGAACTTTTTGCTTCAACTTTCGACTTCGTGATGAGTTGTTTTTCGAGTTGACAGTGGTGGATTTAAGAACGTGATGAAGGGCCTAGAAAAAAGATTATTCTAAATAAGTTAACGAGAACAATACTTTAGAACAAACAAAAGAATACTAAAGAACAAACAAACAACAACAACAAAGGACTTTTTTTGTTTGAACTGGTAGTACAGTACAGTACAAGTACCTCTAAGCGATTGTAGTGATTATTGTTGGTTTAGATATAATCTTTATTACAGCGATAATAGTTGGTTGGTTGGTTGGTTCAGTGGTTTGAGATTGGGAGAATATGTGAATATCACTAGAGTAGAGACACTCCACGGCACACGTCGGCAGCTCGTTCACATTGCTTTTATACGGAACTCAGGCGTTGGTCTCGTCTTGCACACAATGGAGTTGAACGGATAGCGACGCATATTAAATCTCGCACAATAGGCGTTCGTCCACATAGGTGCCTAGCTGGCCATTGCCTAGCTGGCCATTGCCTAGCTGGCCATTGCCTAGCTGGCCATTGCCTAGCTGGCCATTGCCTAGCTGGCCATTGCCTAGCTGGCCATTGCCTAGCTGGCCATTGCCTAGCTGGCCATTGCCTAGCTGGCCATTGCCTAGCTGGCCATTGCCTAGCTGGCCATTGCCTAGCTGGCCATTGCCTAGCTGGCCATTGCCTAGCTGGCCATTTCCATACGTGGCGATCTCGATCACGAGATCGTCACGACAGCGATTAATCTCGAAATAATGATATTCATAACTTTTAAATGTTGACACTACTTTTGATCAACATCTATAAAGTTTTCTCTTTTTCCTTTAGCCAAATCATTTACTTAAAATCTATATTTAAACAGCTTGTTAGACGCAGCTATCAGCTTGTTTAAATTACAAATTCCGTAATCATTCTAATAGAAGCCCCAGTCGCAATTACCACAGCTACTGATGGCTCTGAAGATGGTATCATTCATTGCTTCAAAAAAGAAGGACCGATTCCTGAAGGCGCAACACTTCTCGCCAATGCTCGTCTCGAACAATCGATCAAAGGAGTAGAGTCGCGTAGTCTACCAACGTTTTGCAAAGTCAATAAAGTCAATTTTCCCAGCCCCTAGCGCTTTTTTCAATTATGGTTCCAAAAAATACTAGATTAAAAAATCTATCATTTGACATCAAAACACACACATTGTATCATAAAGGAACACGGAGAACGAAGCGTGTAAAGTTAGACTACACGGCAATACCCCTGCACCCACCTTGTATCATAAAGGAAAGCGAAGAACGGAGCGTGTAAAGTTAGACTACACGGCAATACCCCTGCACCCACCTTGTATCATAAAGGAAAGCGAAGAACGAAGCGTGTAAAGTTAGACTACACGGCAATACCCCTGCACCCACCTTGTTCGCAACATTTGTCGGTATTTTTGCCTTCTTGAACACTCTCATCATTTCTCGTCTCATTTTTCGCTTATTATGAGTGAAATGGATGATTTCAATCGGTTCTTTGAAAGCATTACAATAACTAAAAGCAAAATTTTCGAATTTCTTTCCAAAACTAATAAACCTTGACTGTGGGAAAGCATGATGATTCAACGTTTTTGCGATTTTTCCTTTTAGCTTTAGGTTCTTCTTTCGAATCTCGTAGATCCACCGGGCGAATCCGTGAATGTCACGATTTTGGCAAATTTTGAGAGAACTAAAAGAGAGTTTTACTTTCCGTTGCTCGAAATTCTTTCACTTTTATATTTACTTTCATGCTTTGAAAGTACTTTTTTAAAAAATACGAGGGTGGCTACTCTGCGCCAAGTTTTTTGCGCAACAGGGCCATTTGCGTAACTGGGTCCTTTGCGCAACTAGGTCTTTCGCGCAACTCACCATAACTTCCTTCCAAGTCGGCCAATCTTTATGATTTTGGTGTCATTTTGTAGATCTCAATAAGTGCAACAAAATGAAACCAAAATCATAAAGATTGGCCGACTTGGAAGGAAGTTATGGCGAGTTGCGCAAATGATCCAGTTACGCAAATGACCCAATTGCGCAAAAAATTTGGCACAAAGTAGCCACCCCCAAAAATACTTTAAAAATACCGT